TTACAGGTGATGTACAAGAAAGACTATGAAAAAAGCAAAGGGAAAATGATTGGAGCCCTCAGCATTAATGACGATCCCAAGATGCGGCACTCTTTGCAGACAGCAAGAAACCAGAGTGATGTGAGTGTCTTTGTAATCACCCCTATTTTCAGATGTGGCTGCACTTGGTGTTTAATATACCCTTGGAAGGGATGTTAGCCCAACTGAAATCTCAGATTTAGGACGACAAATCAAATGTGGAAACCCGGGTGGGAAAGGGAGATTAACTTCTTCATTCCTATTTATTCCTCTGCACATTGGAATACCAGTGAATATTGTAAAGGTTCCCTTAATCTCCAAACGCACTCTGCTTATTAGGGGAAAAGATATACTTAGCAATATTATTTTCTTTATTGTTATTCCTAGAAATGGGCACAATATCTCAGCATGTTCAAGTATATGGATGTGTGCATGTATGTGTTGATTCCAGGCCCTGACCTGGTTTAAGAAAGTTTACAAAAATACAACATAAAAAGCAAGAAATGAGAAAATCAGGCTAAGGAAAGATAAAGTAGGAGAAGTTAGATGAAGCATAAGCTCAAAAACAAAGTATTTATTTTTAAAATTTTATAAAATGTTGATATCATTTTAAAGGACTTAAATATTCATTAAAAATAAAACTCTTTACAAAAATAGCTTTTCTAATTAATAGCAAAACAAGTATACTCCCAATTAGAGCATATCATTTACAAATAATTTTTCTTTATTGAGTATATTTTTGCATTTCTATATGGGAGAATTAAAAGAGATTGTGAAGAAATATATGATAGATGCAATAAAGCAGAGAAAGCCATTTTTTCATGTATTATTTCTACAAGGTAAAATGGTAGGCACTAAAGACAAAAGCCAACTTCCAGAGGTAAACATAAAAAGTGTTTCATCAAATCTTGTGCCTTATACCTCATTACAGAATAACTACTAAAAAATTCGTTTTCCTTCAAGTATGTTCAAATGGAAATAATTATTTTAAGACAAAACTTTTTTAGACAGCAGCATTGGTGTGCTCTAACTTATTCAGTTCAATACATATTAGGACAAGTTACATAAATGTTTTATGGTTTTTAGAAGACTAATTATACAAAATATGAGCCTCTAACATATTTATTCAGTGTCTCTGCTTTGTGGAAAATGAATGCTGAAAAAGACAAAATATGTCCATTTGGTTAAAGGAAAGGAATGACACACATTTTTGTTCTATGAGATGCATTTTTCTTTTTTGCTGTCTTTCCCTAATTTTGTGTTCCCTTTGACAGAGATTATACAAGGAAAACTATGAGAAGACAAAGGCAAAGAGCGTGAATTACTGCGAGACTCCTAAATATCAACTTGACACTCTGCTGAAGAACTTTGGCGAGGTTCGAACGACCACGATTACTTCTGGGGCTTGAGGACTTTCTTATTGTTTGGCAAATCACTGACAGTTTGGGTTACATGTGGTTTCTTTTTCAGAATAAATATAAGGATTCATATGTAAAGAATATCTTGGGACATTACGTGGGCAGCTTTGAAGACCCATATCAAATTCACTGCAGGAACGTTTCCGCCCAAAACAGTGACGTAAGTTTGAAGACAATTGTTCATGCCTCACAGTGACATTGTTTGGGAGCAATGACAATCATGATCTATTTTTGTTCTTTCTCACTGTAGAAAAACTACAAAGCAGAATATGAAGAAGATAAAGGGAAATGCTACTTCCCTCAGACAATAACTCAAGAATATGAAGCAATCAAGAAGCTAGACCAGTGTAAAGATGTAAGTCAGCTGCTGTGAATTCTTGAATTTGGGTTTGGGATTCTTGTGACATCTAGTGGCAAATTTAGCAGCAGTTAACATGTTAGCATCTAGTGGTTAGCAGGAGTTATGAAATCTAAACTTTTGGTTTTTGGGTGAAGTTGGGGAATACAAACATTACTATGAAGAAGGGTTATTTGTTACAAAGTAAGTTCAGGTCTTAAAAATCTTTTTTTCCATTAGTTTATGTGATTATAGATATAGGGCAAAGGGAGGCTGTGGAAGTTTGTGGAAGATAGAAGTTCATTCATTCAACAAATTTATATTGAAGATCTAACTGTGCCAGGTACTGTCTGTGGTGCTGGAGAACAGCAGGGCACAATGCCAGCCAGATCTACCTTTTGTGAAGTGTGCATTGTAGTGAGAGAGACAGATAAGAATGAAGGAAAGAGAGCCAGGAAGCCAGAAAGATATCAGGCAGTAATAAGAAATCTAATATAAGATGAAGATGCAGAATTAAATAGGATGACATGAAAGTGAGTGAGTGAATGGGCACTTTACAATGGATGATCAAGAAAGATTGAAGGTAGTAATGGTCCAGCCATGTCAGCACCAGAGGAAGAGCAGCAGAGAGTACAACCTAAAGATGGAACGAGCTTGATGTTCAAGGAATTCAAAGGATGAGATGGCAGGAACATATTGGGGAGGTGGACAGTAGTAGGAAGTGAAGTGGTAGGAGATGAAGAAGGAGTTGGATTAAGGTTCAGTCTAGATTAAAAACCAAATATAGTAAAGAGCCACTGTAGGGCTTAAGCAACAGAAAGATTAATCTATTTGCTGAGTGATAGCAGGGAGATCAATTTAGAGGCTATTGCAAGAGAGAATGAGAGAGAGAGAAAAAGGGAGAGAAGAGAGAGGTGAGAACATATGAAGCAAGATTTCAAGAACAAAACAAGCTATATTTGCTTTAGTGGAAAACTTTTACATGTTAGTGTATAAAGATGTATTCAGAAATTTCAATAAAGAACATCTTTTTTTCCCAGCGTACCTACAAAGTTCATCCAGATAAGACCAAATTCACGGCTGTCGCTGACTCTCCCGTACTGTTGCAAGCCCAGCTCAATACAAAACAGCTTAGTGATGTAAGTGTCTTGATTTAATAAAGCATGAGTTACCCAGAATGCTTTGCTTCTTTAAAACATAAGCATTTAAATGCTTAATTCTTCATGAGCTCCTCTACTATCCCAATAATGTTATTTTTTCAAGATTTGTTTAATACAATGCAAAAAAAAACTGCCAGATAAAATTGTAGCCTCAGAAAAATGGTGTTAGACAATAACAAATAGCAACTATTTCTTCAATAAGTTACTGATTTTTATTAGGAATACCTTAGTTACTCATTAGGATCTGTTCCATACCACAAATAATGCACACTGAAACTTCATTTCAACTTCAATAAACAAAGACAACAAAATTATCCCCTTGGGTAGGTAGCAAGGCAAGCATTTCCCATTTTTGGTTTGCTAACAAGACTTTAAACAAAGAAAGAGAGCAGAAAAATATCAGACAATGATAATAAAACTAACATAGGATGATGATACAGAATTAAAATAGGATGATGTTAGAGATTGAGTGAATGGGCACTTTTCATTGGGTGGTCAAAGAAGGTCAAAGGCAGGAATGGTCCAGCCATGGCAAGATGAGGGGAAGAGCAGCAGTACTTCCCAAATGTTCATGTGCATGCAGAGAACCCAGGACTCTGTTAAAATGCAGATTCTGATCCAGTAGATCTGAGGTGGAAGCGAATATTCTGGGCTTTCTAATAAATTCCCAGGTGATACTGACACTGCTGGCCAGCTGGTGTACCGCACACACACAGTAACAAGGTGCTAGCACAGACGAGCCCTAAAGAGTAACACATTTGGGACCATGGTCTCGGGGAACATCTAGCTCACTTGGCATAACACAGTTTATAAAGACAGTGTTCTACAGTCTACCTTGGTGAGTAGCGTCTGGGGTCTTAAAAGCCTGTGAGCAGCCATCTAAGATACTCCACTGGTCTCAATGCTTTGGGAGCTAGGGAGAATGAAGAGAACAGGATACAAGGAAAAGATTAGTCCAAAGGACTAATGG